AAAAAAAAAAAAAAAATATATATATATATATATATATATATATATATATATATATATATATATATATATATATATATATATATATATATATATATATATACTACATACTCATGAAGAATTTTAAGAAAAGAATGGGTTTAGGCTAAAGTCTAAATGAAATGCTTTGAAAAGCCAACAAGAACAACTCAATATAATCTCAAAATGTTGGGGTTTGAAGGTCAAAATGGACGGAGTCTTACCCTGGAAAAAAAAACAGAAAAGATGTCATTTTGATTACATAGAAATTAAGAGGCAAGGGAAGTTTAATTTGTCATTTTGATTTAGGCCCCGTTTGGCATCAGTGTGCCAGAGATTAGTGCTAGCGTTTTGAAAAAGCTATAGCGTTTTGAGAATTAATCTAAACGATTAAAATTTTACCCCAAACACTAAAATACTAAAGCTAATCGAGAAAGTTGTCTCCAAACAAAGCTTTAGTCTTGCCGGAAACTAAACCCTTTGTCTATAATAATGATTCTTTCAGCTCCATTGGCAACGGAGGAAAATGAAAATTCAATGAATACCCTGGGTGTAAGAATCGCGAATTGTCGGACTGAGATCCAGACCCAACAAAGGGCATGGAAATTGGTCATTGGATGCTCTCCGGCTTGCTAAATTCAAATACTCATAGAATTAGGTTACTTCCAAGGAGGGAAATCAAAATTGAAAGCAAAACAGTATACCTGGGCTATGAACCGTGAATTTGTGGTTTGGAGACCAGCGGACGTGGACAAGGAGAACATTGGGAGGTCAGAGTCGAGCGGGGGCGCCCCTGCGGTTTTCTCCTTCTGCGACCATTTTCAATTCCCCATTGTTCCTTATTCAAGATTCTTCATCTTCTCCTTTTCATCTTCTCTTCTATTGAATGATATCTTCTCAGATTCTCAGCTTTTTTTGTTGTTGAATTTCTAAACACAAATTTCTAGGAGTGTGTTGAATCTAGATTTTTAAAATTTTTTGAATCGATTCTGAAGAGTGAATGGATTATTTTAACCGGGTGTATTCAATTAGTAGTGTAATGGATTTTTTTGATTTTTAAAATTCTGCAAGTTTTCATTTAGAGGTGTTCATTAGGTCAAACTTGGACAAGACCCGCCTAGACAGGGACCGAAGAAGCATTTTGTGGACCGAGGACCAGACCGATTAAGCTAAGGACCAGCCCGAGACCGAACTGGTAAAACCGGGACCGGATTGAATAAATGTTACTCCGTATTTTTTAATTTTTTAAAAAATTTGATTTTATTTATTTAAATTAAAGTATCCAATTACATAAAAATATTGTTATAATTAATTTTTAATGTGTAACATATACTCCCTCCGTCCTAAAACTATCTTCCCACTTCTCTTTTTTCTCCGTCCTAAGATAATCTTCCCACTTCAAAATAAAGGATCTAAATAGACTATATTACCCCTAAACCTCAGCTCTCTCTCAATTATTGGCCTCCTTCGTCCGTCTCTTTCCTTCTCCCCCTTCCTCCATGTCTCTTTCCTTCTCCCCCTTCCTCCATCTCTCCTTTAGTCCTTTCTCTCACTTCCTCCATCTCTCTTCCCTCTCATTCTCAACTAATTTTTATTTTCCTTAATAGATCTAATCGTATCCGTCTCTCTTCCCTCTCCTTTCTTTGCCTCTTTCTCACAGATCTAGATCTAAAGTTCTCTCCCCTTTCGATCTGCGATTTTTCAGCCCTGCAGCGGAAAGTCAGCCATACTGGCGACTTTTTTCCCCTTTCGATCTGCGATTTTTCGCAACCATACTGGCGATTCATCGCTGCTTCCATTGTCGCCGAGCTAAGCGCTCCGTCGCTGAGCAGTAAGTCGCATAGAGACCGCTAGTGGGGTGGGCTTGCTCCAAATTGGGGGTTGCTCCGAAGTGGGGTGGGATTGATCCAAATTGTTTGCAGGCTTTTGATCCCCTTTTTCCAAGTTTAGAAGAAGGGTATTTTTGTCAAGTCAAAGTCAATTTATGCTTCTCTTAAAAATGGGCTAAAGTCAAACCGAGAAGGTTGATTTAGGATGGAGGGAGTACTAAACATTGACAAACACTTTTGTTTTTAGTTTATTAAAAAAACTTTAAATAAAATATATATCATCAATCCGTATTGCATAAAATTTATTCGTAATTTATATTTTACATAGGGTATATTCTTCTTCTTACTGCATTTTTTCTTTTTTGTAATATTTTTTTGTGCTTTTGGTTTATTTTGGAAAACAGATACATTTTTTACTATTGTTGTTTATGAGATTGTTAACAATGTTTTTCTTTGTTGATTAGAGTTTTATTATTGATAAAGTACAAAATTAAGTTATAGTATTCGTACATAAATTTGAAATGTATTAGATCGCTAATATAAAGGTAATGTCTACTTTTTCACATTTTTCATATTAAAAATATTTAAATATCATTAGAATTAATATCTTATTTTGAATGGGAATATATTAAAAAAATTACATTAAATAATAAAATTAAAAAATTTGAAAAACTTTTAGTATTAAAGTTAAATTAATTTTAAGTATAAGAAAAACTTAACAAAACTAAACTATAAAACTATATAAAAACAAATATTAAAAAAATATAACCGGTCCACGGTCTGGACCGAAATCCAGTGGACCAGACCGGACCGGAATCCGAATAAAGAAAAAATGAGGACCGAAGACCGGACCAAATAAGGACTAGTCCGGACCGGTTCGGTTTGGTTTTGACCGGGTTTCGGATCGGTCCGAGTTTGGACCGAATAATGCACACCCCTATTTTCAATTGAGATTTTAAAAATTATTTAAAAATTTAGATGTATTCCGTTCATATTTTAAAAAAACTTTTCTAAATTTAATGATATTAAAAAATTGATAGATTATCCAGGATTCTTATAAAACTGGATTCTGACATATTGTTGGCGTAAACTATAAATAAAAATCATCTTAGAAATCTACTTAAAAGCTATAGACCCTTCACTCTTCGTCTTTTACGATCCATTCACTCGGTCACTCTTACGTCCCATATCTTTCTTCGGTTGCGCAAAACGAAGAAAAACCTCAAATTTTTTCAATCTATTTTATTTAAATGTTGGTATAAAAATTAAAAATAAAATTTACATATTTAAAAAACTATATCAAAGGTTGAACAAAACAAGCAGTGAAAAAAATGGTTTATTTTATACATGAAAAAACACAAATAAATAAAAATTCTCGTGAAGTTGGAATAGTGTACTGCAAAAAAAAGATATTGGATAGAGGGAGCATATGTTGGTTGTGTGACAAATTTAATTATCTATACTTGTGTATGTGTAGAATGGGATGGGAATTGATGTACACCAAACAAGACTTTGGTAATGCCTTATTTTGGATGTAGAGACAAGTCATGGCCACCATATATTTGTGAGTATTTCGGGAAATAATAAAAAAGAAATTACTGCCTGTCACTCAAACCAAACTGTTAATCCACAGTTCACTTCCCCAACATGTGCATATCTGAAATCTTTACAGTCTTTGCAAAATAAATATATGAACCGCAAATACATGGCGCATGCAAAGAAGCTTCATTCATTCCGTGCATTTTCTTTACTCAATTTTAATTTAACCAAAGGCGGAATATATAATTAGTGTAGAAAAGATACTTCATCCGTCCCAAATTATTTGTCACATTTCTATTACCGAGGTAAAATATCAAGTTTTTTAATTTATTTTATTTACATATTAGTAATGAAATAAAAAATAAAAATTACATATCAAAAAACTACATGAAAAATTCTTCAAAATAAGAGGTGTCAAGAATATTTTATTTTATCAAATAACCAATGAAAACGTATCAATAAACAAAAGTTCCCGCGACTGTTGAAAAAGCAAATGTGACAAATAATTTGGGACGGAGGGAGTATGAAACAACGTAGAGCGTCAATGTGCACCGGTGTCCATCACCCGTGCTAGACTGCTAGCTAGTGTATCATCAGTTTCCTAAATAAGTAGTGTCAATTAGTGTCGTCGTAATACAGGGTCATCGTAACCGGACCCTAGTCCTAGGGGTGTTCCTCGGATCAAATCTGGACCAGACCATCTTGATCAGGAACGTACCGGAACGCGACCAAGGGGATCGCCTCCGAGATCTCGTCTTCCTGGACGATTACGGCCTCAGGATCAAATGCCGGCCCCGGGTAGACACTCCACTTCCCCACGCAAAAGGGAGCGCGGGTGGAAGTGTCCACGGCTCGGAGTGAGGCTTCCCAACCGGCCGAGTCATCGGAGGGGCCAGGTTTGACCTGGATTTTGAGCCTCCCCCCAGACGTTTCAGGCATAGGAAAACTCGCCGGGAGGAAAGGTAATCGAGACATATATTTCTTTCCACTCCTTGTTTGAAGGAGGGAGACCGGAAAGAAAACCTTGCCCTGATAGGAGGATACTACGACGAATCCAAGGGTTTCCTTAGATCCGGGCCGGAGGCCAAACATGTGATTGAAAAGACGGAGGGAAAGAGGGATGCGAAGGAAATGACAGACATTGATGAAACTACTCAGAATACGATGGCCGTTGGGGGCCAACTGACCGGCCATAATGTCGCACGACTCGAGGAAATATACTTTGAAGGGATGGTGGGAGAATTCACCTAGGTCCTGGATGGAATGGTAATGGACCCCTAGGGTTAAACCAGAGTGCAAAGAAATGATATTTTTCCAGGTGGCCTTATAAGATAATTTGTGACCCTCTGGTAGGAGGTTACGGAGCTCATGGACCTGGATTTTTTGCATAGAGGAGGGGAGCTCTTGAAGCACCCGGTCATCCAGCGAGACGTAGCCTTCCTCACGGGTATGGGCTACGATGACAGTCTGGATCACAGAAGTAGAAGGGGCGGAAGTGGCAACATCAACCAGCTTCACTTGTTTGGGAGAAGTTGGGCGCTAGCTTGACTCAGAAAGGGAAGATGAAGACTGGGAACCGGAGGCATTGGACTGTGTTCCAGAACCGTAAGAATGAACAAAAACGTTCTGGCTATCCTCGTTCTCAGACATGGTGGAAGATAAGGGCAAAAAAAGAAAAAGGACATACTTGGGACTCAGAGGAATGTTAAAAGCTTGTCCGATCGGGCAGTTTTTTAAGAAACGAAATGTAAGTGATAAATAGGGGGGGCCTCAGTTTATATAGGCAACATGCCGCCCCGGAGGACCACTAGGAAAATGACTCCTGGCAGACATTATAATTAGAAATGATGATATGGCTTCTGGGGAAGAGGAAACGACACGACAACTAGGCGACAATGTACCAGATTTCTGTAAAATCATTCCCGCCTACCATGCTCGGGAAATTCAAAATTAAAAAGTATTTAACCATTTGATTCACGCCCTAGATGGTACCCACAAAGCCGAGAATTGGAGGACTCCTTGATGGCTATAACCCACTGGTACCACTCGACAAGTTTGTAGGCGGCCGGGAGGTACCAAGGTTTGACCGTGCTTGACCTCATCCTCCCCGGTAATCTGACCTGGTGGATGTCGGGGGGTTAGACCGGTAAGATTGTGACCTGATCCGCAGGAAGGCTTGAAGACTGGCCGGGTATTGGTGTTGACCGGGAACTGGTCCACTTGAGTCTGATAAGTCCAAGTGGACGATTTGATGTGAACAGTAGTCGAAAATAGTGTATCTTCTATTACTATAAATAGTAACGAAAGCCTCATAAGGAAGGCAAGCAATAAACAATCTACACGGCTCCTACTTTGTAATCGATCCTCATATTATAAATAACAAAACAGGTTACAGGTGTTTTTGTAGCAACATCAACATCTGATCCGCTAAAGTTGATGTTAAATTACACTATTAGCTATTAAATTAATACTAACATGGGAGAATGTAAAAAAGGGCTATTTGTGAAATGTACTTATAAAAAGGATCATGAAGATCATATTTGATAATAAAGGACTAAATACGAAAAAACCTTCTGTTATAGAAGACCAAATACAGAATTTACTTTAAATTAAAACTTGTAAATACATCACTGTAAAAAGTTAAAATTAGACAAAAATTTACCAAAGAGAGATCATGACTAATGAGAGGAGGGTTAAGCTTGGTTGGATGGGTTTGGAGAAACAAGCACTGCACCCAACCCACACCCATTATTACTGTGTTTGGGAATTGTTGTAACAAAGTAAGCTAAAGGCTGCAAGAGAATCTGAGCCCTAAACATGGCAACACATATGAACTCTCTCTTCATCTCTCTCTCTCTCACACACACACTTTACCCCTCTCCCTCTCCCTCTCCCTCTCTCTCTCTCATATCATTACCCCTCTTTATTTGTCTCTCTCTAAAGAAAAGAAAAGAAATGATGATGAAGGGATGGATCATCATAATATGTGCATTTGCATGCATATATATATATAATTAAGATGTGAAAGAATCTCAGAGAATCATATCTGAACTTACAATATTATTCTCCCTCCACCATTAATTACCTCTTCTCCTCCTCTTCTTTGTTTTCCCCCCTTCTGTTTTCTTGGTACATATATATAAATACATGGAGTTGTTCAGCCCAAAGATAATAACCACTGCAAAATTAATGCTTCTTCTCCTTCTTCTTCTCCTCTCTCTCTCAACCATCATCATCACCACTCTACCTCCTCTTGCTTTGGGTAAATTTACATTAAACCCAATTCTTTACTCTGCTGTAAATTAGAAAATTAACCTGACCAGGTCGGTTAACTTTTTTTTTTACCTTTCTTGTTTGACTTCTCCCCACAGATGAACTCGGAACGCCATTGGGTGCGGCGGTGGAGGTGGGTTCTTATTTCCAGGTCAGTCACAATAATACTCCCTCCGTCCCAAAAAGAATGGGACGGTTTCACTTTTTGAGAAATTAAGGAGGGATATTTTAGTATTGACTTTCTAAAAATACCCTTGATGTGATGGGTAAAAGTAGGATGTGATGGGTAGATTATTAGGAAAAAGGTATGATGTGATAGGTAGGGTATGAAAAAGTAAGGGGTAAAAGGGGTTTTTTAATAGAAATGTAACGGACTTTATGGGACGCAGTTTTTTCTAAACGTAACAAACTTTTTGGGACGGAGGGAGTATATTTTATATGTATATATGAATCCTAATTTTCATGTTTTTGCACGGATTTTCTCAAGTCAGACTTTCATTTCCCATACTCCATATAAATTATTGAGAAATTTTGCAAAATTAAACGGTGCAAACCATAGGGTTAATCGAGGGGACGACGTGGTCCGTGACGGCCTGATATATTTTATTCATCGACTTGTATCGTATTATTAGTATTCAAAATTGTATGGTACGGTTTGATTTTACGACTAAAATCGCTCTGTTTATCTTGTTTCAAAATGTGATATGATGGTACACGTCTTAAGGGTTAAAATTTTATTTTTATGTTATTTATTTATATTTTTTTTTGGAAAAAACATATAATTAAAATTTTATTTTCCAATAAAAATTCAAAAAATAACAAATAAAAAATTTATAATTAATTCATTAATTTTATACGGAATATTTTGGTAGTAATTGTTCACATCTCAGTTCTGAAAACTAGGCGGTTTATTTAATTTGGTTGGCCATATAATTAATTAAAATCATTTGAAAACTTATATTTCCATTCGATATTATGTCGGTCCAGTTTCAAACAATGTCACTATATACTGTCGCTCTGTTTTCGCAAATGTTTTTGTTTATAAAATTATAATTGTGTGTGGGAATTTAAATTTATCGAGCGACAGTATCCAGGCAAAAAAAATACTTTCTCTATACCAAAATGGACTAGGATTTTTTTCTTCCGAACAAATTTCAAAATGCTTAAAATTTAATTTAACACATTATTCATGTAATACTTTTCCAACAACTTTTTAAAGTCAAAATATCATTATTATATAAAAATTGATTTCTATAATTTATTTTCTTCGTACTACTACGGCTACACCATTTGGGTAGCTAAAAGTCGAAGGCAACAGCAGCATCTGAGCAGCAATGGTCCCATGCAAAAACAAGGTCTACAGGGCGCACGTTAGCCTCTGTTCTCATGTTTTTAAAACTGACAGTGAGACTTTTACGCGCTAATATATATGAACCCTTTTTTAATTACCTTTTTCTCTTTCTTTTTTTCACTCCACAAAAGTTTACTTTATTACCCCTTTCTCCTGCTTTTTTCTTATTTTGACTTTTAAGACAAATAAAGAGTGTAAATTTGTGCTTGATTTTTTCAATTATTTCTTGATGTGATGGATAAATTATTAGTGAAAAAATATAATGCGATGGGTAGGGTAAAAAAAATATGAATAAAAGTAATTTTTAATAGAAGGTTGAAGTATTTTAGGGAAAAACAAAAAAATGTAAGGGGAAGCATTTTAGAAAACGAATGGAGTATAACTAAAGGTTTTAGATAAAACCCTATATCTAAAGCATTTTAGATAAAACCCTATATTTTTTGAAATAATTTTATTTTAGTACGTAATAGAATAGAAAATTTGAAAGAGAAAATGAAAATTGTGTCAAAATAATACATAATTATTATCAAATAATTAATAAAAACGTACAAATAAACAAAATTTATGGAAAGGTCAAAATAATAATACTCCCTAATAACTTTAGTTATGAGACTGATGGAGCTAATAATAACCACTCGGCAGAAGGCAAGGTTAAAATGACGCTCCTAGACATTGTGGTGTCTTTTCATGACACTGACTAAATTTGAAGCTCATAGATGGTTGAATTCATCACCTCCAAATACATTTTTAAATTTAGTTATTTTTGAAATAAAGATTTTTAGTCCAAAGTCAACTAAATTTAGTTGCTCTTTCGTTTTTTTGCTTTCCACAAAACACTTCTACTTTCTATTAAAAAACCACTTTTACTCTTACTTTTTCATACCCTACCTATCACATCATACTTTTTCACTAGTAACCAAACTATCACATCTTACTTTTTCCCATCACATCAGGGGCAAAATTGGAAAATCAACCAAAATTACACTTTTCTTATTTTTCCCCAAAGTCAAAACCGAAAGGATTTTATGGAACGGAGGGAGTACGTTTCAAAATGATCCAGTCATCAAGAAATAGTCTAATCACTAACTTCTTTTTACTCCTCATCACTGTTCTAATTAACCACCATGAAAAAAATCAAAGTGGTAAATGTTCTTTTTTTCGGAATATAGGAACATTAGATTTATTAAACGTCATCTAATTAGATAAATTAGAAATAAAGGGAGCACTAATCATTTAATTTTGTTGGTCTGTCTTCTTCATATAACCTTTCTATGTGTGTGTTCCCTTTCGATAGGGCTCAACCAAAATTATGGTTGAGATTTTATTTTTCAATCAAAAAAGATTAAATTTTTTAATTGGTCCTCAATAATAAGGGTATTTCTCAATTTAGTCTACTCTGTAAAATATATTTTTCTTTAATCCTCTAAATATGAATTAAAGTAGTCCTATGTTAAAGAACATGTTAAATTCCTCATTAAATGAGTATAATTGTCATTTTCTATCTTCTACAAGGTTTTCGATTGTAGTTAACGTTTTAGATAAAATTTTAACGGTGCAGATTAATTCTGAAAATGCTAACGCTAAAATATATCGTCAGATAGTCTTTTTAAAACGTTAACGCTAATCTCTAACGCCAATGTCAAACCGAGCCTAGGTATACGTGTAACATCACTACCCACATAATCTCTAACTCCTTTCGGTTTCTTTCACTAACGGCTTTAAAAATTAAGTAGTTATATAGGATTAATATGAAATACTCAGCAGCATTATATATATATATATATATATATATATATATATATATATATATATATATATATATATATATATATATGTATGTATATATATATATATATATATATATATATCACCTCAAATAGAGACAATAATGAATTCATTATTATCTAAAATTAGAGTTTTCTTACATATTTATTCATTTGATTGAATGACTTTTTAACACTTAACCAACTCTTACCATTTTTTCTAGTTTATTTTAATTTTTTTCAGAATTGTGACTTAAATTGAGACCCAAAACAGAGAATTATTATTAATCCAACATTGCCTTAATTACAAATGTTGTACGAGTAATTAATAACCTTATGGACTGTGGTACAGTGCCCTCACTCCACCCCACGCATGACAACGCAAGTGATTTTATAGTTACAAAAACGATAATCATCTGTGAACAACACAGATGAGTATCACCTGTGCAGATACAAAATCGTCTGTATTGTCTTGTGTGGAAGCAGGAGTGGTATGTTTTTAGCATTCTCCTAACCTTATATTGAAATAATTAATAAATTTATATTATAACGGTGCTGAGAGACAATTATGCTAGATGTAGGACTCTGCAAATACTAGATCTAAGTTTTACTTTTTGCCATCAATCTACGATCAAAGTTCAATTTACCTCCTTTCAACCTTTTTCATTAAAGAGTTTAAATTAGTTACTCCCTCCGTTCTTTTAAATCTTCCCATTTTGACTTTGGGCTAAAATAAAAATAAAAAGTGTAATTTTGGTTGACTTCCAATTTTGCCTCTGATGTGATGGGTAAAAGTAAGATGTGATAGTTTGGTTATTAGTGAAAAACTATGATGTGATAGATATGATATAAAAAAGTAAGGATAAAAGTAGTTTTTTAATAGAAAGTGAAAGTATTTTAGGGAATTGGAAAAAACGAAAAAAGAAATGTTTTATGGAAGAGACCGAATGTATTGGATTCCCTGCTTATGAAACCAATACGGAGTGTCAATGAACCAACTCAACCAGAAGCTCAAACTTGTGGTTGTGGCTCAGGAATAGTTATTTATATTCTAACACGCCCCCTCACGTGCAGACGTAGTTTTTTTCAAGCCTTGCACGTGAAACCTTAATTTTTTTAAACTGGGTGGCGCTGAGTTTCGAACCTGTGACCTCTTAGCCAACGAGGCTCTGATATCATGTCAATGAACCAACTCAACCAGAAGCTCAAGCTTGTGATTGTGGCCCAAGAATAGTTATTTATATTCTAACACGGAGTGGCATCAATTCTCTATGCTAACAAAAACAAATGTCTGATGCCATCTATGTGGTCTGTCACACATGACTTGATTGATCCAAGTCTTATTTGTTTTTTTCTTTTCCACAAATTAAAGATTCCAACAATGTATATGCAGCAGAAGAAAACGGTGAAGGGAAAGGAGAGGGCGTCGCCAACAACCGCCACCAGAGGTGGCGGTTCGAGGAGGCTGTTGAGCGGGCCGGGCTCATTTCCGCCACGATGCACTTCGAAATGCGGGAGATGCGTGCCGTGCAAGCCGGTGCACGTGCCCGTGCCGCCCGGAACGCCGGTCACGGCGGAGTACTACCCCGAAGCTTGGAGATGCAAATGTGGGAACAAGTATTACATGCCCTAGTCAGTTAATTACTCCATGGCCATCCCTTTAAACATATTTTTGAAAAATCTATTAAATATATAGGTGCTGGGTATGTGATCCATAATTAAGATTAAATTCTATTTAGCGTACGGTACAAATGCCAATTAAGAATAATACATACCTCACATATATCATATCATATCATGTATACTCTTTGGGTAATTAATTTACCAAAAAGTTTTCTTTTTTGTAAATATTTTACTGAGTTACGTTTGATGTTCTGTGTCACATACTCATCCGTGTACAATTTAACACTTTTTTGCTACTCTTGGGTTCTATAATTTTATGCGGATAGATGATAATTGGTTGTATTGAAAAAAGAGATATGATTCTCTCTTCATCCCAATTTATATGTCAAAATTAAAATTTGAAATATTTGCACTAAATAGCACTAAAACTTAATTCAATTCTCTAAATATCACTTAAACTTTTTTTTCATTAAATAGCACTTAATAATGTTCAAAATGTCCAGTGATGGCGAATATTTGATTGAATAATGACTAATGCAAAATGACTATAAGTGCTACATTGGAAAGAAAAAACATATGTAGTGCTATTTAGAAAAAGTCATTATGTTTTAGTGCTATTTAAGTAAATTTTCTCTTAAAATTTTAATTTAACTTTGAATACAATTAAATATAGTTTCACATAAATAAAAGTTACTCTCTCCGTCTCACTATTTTGATTTCTCGATAATTTTTGTTTGTTTACTCGTTTTGACTGAACATTTGATAAAATAAAATATTAAAATCACATCTTGTTTTGGAGAATTTTTTATGTACTTTTGATCGGTGTAAATTTTACTTTTAATTTCTCTACCAATTTATAAATAAAATGATTCTAAAAGAGATGAAATTTTGCACGTCATTCGAAATGTGCAATATATAACGTACAACCGGTTGTATGGTGTTTCCCGTACATCTACGACGAGTGATCATTTACGAGTAACTGAATATTCATTTTCAAGCAAGTGAATACTCATTCTCGAGCAAGTGAATACTCATTTCTCTAAAATTTCGTTATGCTAGATAATGAACATTTAGTTACTCGAAAACTAGTTTTCTGTTACTCGAAAATGAGTATTCATGCGGATGTACGGTAAATACCTTACATCCGGATGTAAGGTATAGGTATTCTTCGAAATGTTGTAAACAATTCGAGACAGGAGTATAAAATGTTGATATATCAGAACTACGACTTAGCACAAACTCAACTTTATTAAATTGGCATTATAATTAAATATATTTTTATCATAATTTATGTTACATCAAAGATTGCCTAAAGACTAATAAATTGGGGCAAAGAAGTATAAACTGATGAATATAAAAAAATCCTTAAAATGAAGGAAGAATAATTTTAGGACAACTCAAATACTCCATCCGTCCCTAAAAGATTGACATGCACAGTTTAACTTTGTTGGTCAAATTGTAGTACTCTTTGACTACGACTTAAATATAGTTTAAAATAATTAAACATTATAAACATTTAATATTTTAAACGTAAATTTTAAAATAAACTAAATTTTAATAAATTTACATTATAACAAAATATGTTTTTTTCTATAATTTATTGTCAAAAATGTCACAGTTTGACCAAAAAACGTCAAAGAGTGACAATCCTTCATGACCTGAGGGAGTGTAAGACACAAGAATTTTCGGAATTTCCTATTGGGTAAAGTGATTTTAAAGGATGAATCGTACTTATCTTACTTTTATACTAGTACTAGTATGTTTCAAGCATTCAAAAAAAGAGTATGTTTCAAAACAAGCTTTCTACACATTTTTATTAGGTACAATGTACTAAAGGCTTTGTTTGATAATACGAAGTAGCATTTTTTAATTAATGTTGGATTTTAGATAAATGTTAATGGTGTAAATTAATTTTGAAAAATACTTACGCTAAATGCTATCGTTAAATAATTGTTCACACTACTAAATGCTATCTAATTTAATCATGTTTTTTTGTATTATTCTCATTAAAAAATAATAATATGTTACGAAAAAATAATAAAAAATAATTAAACAAATAATTAAATAAAAATTTAATAAATATTAAAATTCAAATAAATAATAATAATACTAATAATAATGGTTGTTTTAAATAAATAACTAAGTTAATAAACAATAATAGTACTATTAAAAATGATAATTATAAATAAATAAGTACTCCCTCCGTCCCTAAATAAACTTCCTTTTGTGACTTTTTGAGGATTTAAGGGAAGGATATTTTTGTGTTGACTTTCCAAAAATACCATTGATGTGATGTGTAAAAGTAAGATGTGATATGTAGATTATTAGTAAAAAGTATGATGTGATAGGTGGAGTATAAAAAAGTAAAGGGTAAAAGGAGGTTTTTAAGGGAAAAAGAGAAGTTTATTTGGGGACAAAGAAAAAACGAAAGAAGAAGTTTGTTTAGGGACGGAGGGAGTATATAATAACAGTAAACAAAAATAAATCCATAAATAAATAAAAAAATAAAAATATAATTCAAATATAATTAATAAATAATAAAAATATTAATAAATAATAAATATAATAAAAACACAAGCTATATAATAAATTAATAACAATAAAATATAAAAAACTAAAAAGGTGGTACTAATTAAAATAAAAAATGAAAGCTAAATAAAAAAAAATATAAAATAATAATAATAAAAAAATTAAAGCTTTCCTGGCCTCTCTTCCGCCAACCAATCAATTAAGATGGAAGGAATCCCTCTCATCCTCCTTCCCATCTTTTCCTTCTTCCACTCCCCTACCTCCTAACGAAACAAGCCCTTAATTAATTAATGGAACGGAAAATGCTAGGGGTACACCAAAAGTGTACCCCAAACATCCCCCACCCCCTCCATCACCACACAAAAAAAGCAAATAAATTCAAGAAAAAGTAAAAACTAAAAATAAAATAAAATGAATGGTAGAGAGGGAGGGTGGTGTACATTTGGGGTACACCTTTGGTGTACCCCTAGCATATCCCTAATGGAACGGGTGCATCTTTAGAGTTGTAGCATATGTTCATTAAATCAATTGTCTAATGCGTAGTACCTCATCCGTTCCATTAAACTCTTCACCTTTTATTTCTTTTCTAATTCACTAAAACGCATCCACTTTCTATTGAAAATTCACTTTTACCCATATTTTTTCATACTCTTCCTATCACGTTATACTTTTTTACTAATAGCTAAAACTATCACATCTTATTTTTTACTCAGCACATCTGTGACAAAATTGAAAGTCAACTAAAATTATACTTTTCTTATTTTGACCCAAAATCAAAATTAGAATGGTTTAAGATTTTTCTATCAAATCGATTTTTCTATCAAATTTATTTATGAGCTGTTTATAAGTAAAAAAAACATAAGTGGGTTCTACCTACCTACCTTCTCGTTTTGACCCATTCATTAACTATAGACTGACACGACGAAGACTCGTGACTTTTTTGACTTAATAAACTTGACCCGTTAACACCTGGGTGGCGTAGATCAGGTGAAAAAAAGTGTCAAAAGAAATAAATCCGAGTTCGGCGCTTGACAACAACAATAAAGACGGGTCTCAGACCACCTTCGTGGTGGCGTGGTTGATTGGGGTTCCACCCCAATGGTTTGGGGGGATTGTAATCGTCAATTAATTAACTCGGGTTGAGTTGAATAAGACAGCAGGCCAGGGTTAGAATATCACTGTTTTTGTAGGTCATGTTACTGAGACAATAATACAAAAGATTTGAATGGCTGGTGAGGACCCTTCACTATGTCCTTTCATGTTTCTCTGTCTGTCCCTATAGCATTGCTTTAATTTCCGCTAATTGTGCTCTTTTTGCCCCCAAATTGTGTTTGACTTAGTGTCTGCCTATACTCTCTCTCAATCTTGGTTAGAATTTTATTTTCTCCTCTTGATAATTTTCATTTATTTATATGTTTTTATTAATCATTTCATAAAAGAAAATACATTTGTCACTTTTTGTTTTGTAGAACTTTTGATGTAATTTTTTAATATATAAGAGAGGACATTTTCACTATGCTAAAAGTGACACATTACAAACACCAGTCCACATGAACCACATAATTAAACTTGTGAACCAGCAAAAAAGAAACACGGAAAATCTAGTATAGATTGATTTTGTTGGGCCCGCCCAAATTATTGATCTCATTTAGACATGGATAAAGTTTTTAAAAGAAATTACCGACTAATCTTTTTTGTTAAGGAGTAGATTTTAGGCGGGAGAGTATACAAAACCTCCCTACTTTTTATACTCCCTCTGTCCACAAATAAACTTTACGTTCACTATTCACAGGGTCAAACTTTATTCACTTTGTTGGCCTATTTTCGTCACCCATTTGATAATAATATAGTCATGTCACCTCTAGTTTTGTAGATCTTTTAATATAGTTTTTTAATATATAATTTTTATTTTTCAATTCTACACCATTTTTCATATAAAATGATTTGAAAATAACTTTCGTCAAACGTCGTAACGCACAATGTAAAGTTTATTTGTTGACAAATAGAGTATTACATCTTCTCTCATTCATGAGTGTCACATCAAATTTTTCTAATTTTCTACTTTTCATACTACAAGGGACAGAACACTTGTTAATTCATCAACTTACTACACCCATTTTCTAATAATTAACTTAGACAAAGAATAAAAATTTATTTTAAAATAGTTTTTAAATAATTCATTTTATTAATAATTAATTATATTAATAAAAACTTCAAAACATGATTTAAAAAATATAAAGTATAAATATTTAGTTAATACGATAACATTTTATTGATTTAAATGAAACTACAATACTAAATAAATGTACATACTCATCCAAAATAAAAAACGAAAAAATAACTGTCCTAAAAATATATTAACTACATGGATATCCGGACCATTGAATAAGCCTCAGGCGGCCCAAATACAATTCCAAAGCTCAACACGAGTAAGGTCGAGCTCGGAGATTGGGGAGATTGAAGCCCAAGGATCAAATGAAATAATGGATCGAAGGCCGGCCCACAACGAGGAATTAGACCTGATACGAGGAGAAGACGTGACCTCTGAAATTGTG